CCAGCACCATTTGTTGAAGAGACTGTCTTCTCTATGTTTTTGGTGCCTTTGGCTAGTATGAGATAACTGTATTTATGTGGGTTTGTCTCTGTGTCTTCTATTCTGTACCATTGGTCTTCTGTTTTGGTGCCAATACTATGCTCTGTTGTATAATTTAAGGTCTGGTATTATGATGCCTCCTGTTTTACTCTTCCTGCTAAGGATTGCTTTGGCTATTCTGGGCCTCTTATTTCTTCAAATGAATTTAATGGTTGCTTCATCTAGTTCTATGAAGAATGTCATTGAGATTTTAATAGGAATTGCATTAAATCTGTATAATGCTTTTGGTACTATGGCCATTTTGACAAGAGTAATTCTACCTATCCAGGAGCATGGGAGATTTTTTCATATTCTAAGATCTTCTTCAATTTCTTTCTTTAGTTTTCATTGTAGTGGTCATTCACCTCTTTTGTTAGGTTGATTCCCAAATATTTTACTTTAGTTGAGAATATTGTAAATAGGGTATTTTTCCTAATTCTTTTTCAGTGGATTCATCACTGATGTACAGGAACATATTTGATTTATGGGTGTTGATTTTTTTATCCTGCTAACTTGCTGAATTCCTTTATTCTAGGAGTTTTCTGATGGAATTTTTTGGATCTTCTAGCTATAGAATTATGTCATTGGCAAATAGTGATAATTTAAGTTCTTCTTTTCCTATTCATATCCCTTCAATTTCTTTCTTCTAATTGCTCTGGCTAGAGTTTCAAGGACATTGTTGAAGTGGTGAAAGAGGGCATCCTTGTCTTGTTCCAGTTTTTAGAGGGAATGCTTTCAAATTTTCTCCATTTATAAGATATTAGCCTTGGGTTTAGCATATATAGCTTTTATAATGTTGAGGTATGTTTGAAATTTATAATGTAGGACATTATTATTTAAGATTTTTCTCATAAGGGTCATAATAAATAACAGCCATCTTTTGTTGAGACCTTTACAAATATTTCAAATAGCCTTTGCAAATTTTGTTTTGAGCTGGGTGTTATTGCCATATTACAGATACACTGAGGTTCAGAGAAACTGAGTAACTTTCCCAAGGTGCCACAAAGCAGCAAATTTAGAGAAGCACGCTTCTTCAGTGGGCCTTTTACTGAATGTTTCTTTGTACACATCCTCTTTACACATCCCGTTTTGGAAACTAGATTATCATCTCCTTAAGGACAGGGAAGGTTTTTTCCTGTCCTTTTTACCTAGTACAGTGTCCTGCACGTAGAGGATACCCAGTAAATATTTAATGTTGTTACTGGGCAAACTGCTACACTGGCATGTTAAACAAAGTGTAGTTTTACACGGGCAGAACGAACAAAGAGGCGGTAAACTTACCTAGGTGGTTCATACCAGTAAATTTATTGGATGACATAAGAGAAATATGAATCCTCTTTCCCGGGTAAATTACAGAGGAGGGTAGATTTGACCATTCTGGTGGTCTTCTAAGAAAGGACATAATATTTGCTTTTTTCCCCGACTATCTTCTAGCAGTGATTAAAGAAAAGATCAATTCCATAGAACTGTTTAGAATTTACTTGAGAAAACATCAATTTTTATTATTTAATTTGGCTTTGGAATTTTTCAGCAGTCCGGCAGAGGGCGGTGTTGAACTACCAAGAAGGTACCAAGAACTAATGGGTTCTTCAAAACTGTGTGCTGTCCCACTGAGTAATGGTTATATGAATAAGAGAGGGAAGCAGGTTGGGGCCATGGCTCACCTAGTGTGCATGAAGCACTGGGTTCGATCCTCAGCACCACATAAAAATAAAATAAAGATATTGTGCCCATCTATAACTAAAAAATATTTTTTTTTTAAAAAAAGAGAGGGAAACATTTTTTTTTTAACTGAAATAGATAATAAAAAGCTTGTTTATTGCAGTCTTTCTTCTGAAACAAGGTCTTGCTAGGTTGCCAGCTTTGTGGTTAACTGGGCTCAAGCGATCCTCCTGTTTCAGACTCCCAAGTAGCTGGGACTACAGGGTATGAATGATTGCATGAATTTACTATATAATTTTTTCATTTCTTAAAGACTAGATAAAAGTAACTGCTATAGGTTTCAAATCAACAAGCATTCTAATTTGGAAGATTTGTTTAATAAATATCTATAAAGTTTGAAGTGTGCGAAAATGATAATTTCCATTCATGTCTGATGGCAATACTGATTGAAACATACAATGTATCTGTCAATATGAATATATCAGTGTGTTAGGCCATGGGCTAAGAACTTTCTGTACATTATTCTCAGAACAGCTCTATGAAATGAATAGTGTTCTTATTCTTTTTATTTTTAAATTTTTATTTATTTTTAATTTACAAAATCATGTTTATTGAATACAACATATTGTTTTGAAATATGTTTTATTTGCTTTTAAAAAAATGAGAAAAGAAGCTAGGCATGGTGGCACATACTGGCAATCCCAGCTACTCAGGAGGCTGAGGCAGGAGGAGCATATGTTTGAGGCCGGCTTCAGCAATTTAGCAAGGCCCTAAGCAAGACCCTGACTTGAAATAAAAAAATAAATAAAGGACTAGGGAATCCCTAGTACCGCCCCCCAATTTTTTTTAAAGGCTGGGGATATAGCTCAGTGGTAGAATACCCCTGGATTCAATCTCCAATACCACAAAAACAAAACAAAAACCAAAAAGAACACAAAAGAGGCCCAGTTGTGCTTGCTGCTAATTCCAGCTACTTGGCAGGTTGAGGCAGAAGGATCCCTTGAACCTAGGAATTTGGGACCAGCTTAGGTAACATAGCAAGACCCTGTCTCTAAAGACAAAAACAACAAAAAATAAGAAAATAGTGTCTTAGTTCAAGATGATTTCCACTGATAAGTAACAAAACTGGGACTTGAATTGGAGGTTTGAACACCAGAATCCATGCTTATGCCTAGTAAATTTTACAGCAAATGACTCTTTCCTCTGTTCATGGCCCAATTATGTGAATAATAGTGAATTTGAGTTTTTTCCCCTTTAACTTTCAGTTGTTGTTGAAGTATGTAACAACATTCTGACCCTCCACTACTTACTTTAGGAATATTACTGGGAAATTTGACTTTTAATTTCCTGGTGGGATAGTAATTTAAACTCAGATGCCATAGAATGATTTGATTCCTGGTCAAAACACGCATATTTAGAAAGTAGCATGATACAATGAAAACTGAAATTGAGAACCAGGTAATCTGATTTATAGTGTATTTTACTAATATCTGAATGTGTTTCAGAACTAATCTCACTAGACCACTGTCTTTCAAATGAAGGACTAGGAAACTTCAGTTCCCAAATCTGAGTTTGGTGGTTTTGTATGTGGGAATTTTTCTGTTTCATATCCACATGTTAACATGTCTTGTTCAATTTCTGGGAGCACTGTGTTAATATAAATGAGATAATGTGCCTCGTTTAGCACTCGTGAGGAATTCTCAAAAGGGTGTAAAGTTCAGAGTCATTTGTCTGTGACATTTCTTAGGACATGGTCTTTCTTCTATCTATCCATGAGTTCCTGGGAATAGCTTGTACATTCTTCCTTTAATTTTGGTTAAATCATTTCCTTAGAGGAAAAAAAGGCTATATCTGGTCTTTAACTCTTGGTGAAAGGGTGTGGAATTTGTCAACTTTTGGAAGAAGACTGCAGAATAAAGGATGTCATAATCTCTATTCTTATTCCTTACCTTTCTTCTGTGGAGGCATTTAGGAATTATATCTTTCTGAAAGTTAAGTGATGGCATCAGTTCTTAAAATAAGCAAAACGTGAAGAGAATGATCGCCCAATTCTTCTGTGAATGGTTAATATAATGCTGCTTTTTTTTTTTTCTTTCTCTTTTTTTGGCACCGGGGATTGAACCCAGGGACACTTTACCACTGAGCTACATCCTAGCCCTTTTATTTTGAGACAGGGTCTTACTAAATTGCTTATGCTGGCCTCCAATTTGCCATCCTCCTGCCTTAGCATCCCAAGTAGCTGGGGGTTACAGGATTACAGCATCTACCACTGTACCTCTGCTAAAGTTATTTTTCTCTACAGTTTTAGAGAAAAGTCTTTGGGCCACATATGTGTACATCTAGTTCTTATTAGTTACTAAAGGATTTGTAGATGGTATACATTCATTCAACAAGCATTGAACACTGTGTTAACCATGGAAATATAGCCTTGAACAAAACACAAACATCCCTAACCTCATGGAACTTACAATCTAGTGAGGACAATAAGTCAATAAAGAAAATAAGTATAATATATAGTAATTATATGGTGGTAGATTCTATAGAGAAAAATAAAACTTGTTTAAAGAAGGGAGGTAGAGGAGTATTGGAATGTGTAAAGTTTGCAGTTATAAATAGAGTATTCAGCGAGGCATGGTGGCACGTGCCTGTAGTCTGTAGTCCCAGCACTCAGAAAGCTGAAGCAGGAGGATTGCTTAAACCCAAGCATTTGGGGGCAGACTGGGCAAGGTAATGAGACGCTGTCTTTAAAAAAGAAAAAAGACACTGGTGTGATGGTGCATGTCTCTAATCCCAGCAGTTCTGGAGGATGAGGCCAGAGGGTAGTGAGTTCAAAGCCAACCTCAGCAATTTAGCAAGGCCCTAAGCAACTTAGACCTTGTCTCAAAACAAAAAATTTTAAAACAGGCTGGGGATGTGGCTCAGTGGTTAAGTGCCCCTGAGTTCAACCCCTAGTACAAAAAGAGAAAAGAAAAAAAAAAAAAGTAATAAAATATTCAGGAAATAATTTGCTGAAAAGTGGACATGGAGCAAAAACTGGAAGGAAGTGAAAGGAATAAGCCACATGGACTCTTGATAAAAATAAAAAAAAAAACAAATAAACAGAAAACTTTCCAGGTAAAGGGAAGAGCAACTACAAAATTCCTGAAGTGGGAGTGAGCTGTTCATAAAGAGCAAAGTGGTCAGGGTAGCCGAGGGGCAGACAGATGATGGACAGTAGTTTGTGTGTGACTCTAACGTGAGGATGTCGACTTTCCCCTAAGACAGAATGTCACTCTCTGCTTCCTGATCAACGTGTGAGCTGCTTCCCTCTGCCACACTCCTCTGCCCTGACATCCTGCTGGAGCACCAGGGAATGAAGCCGCCTTCTATGGACTGAGACCTCTGAACCCATGACCCCTGCCTTGTGTATGCCTTGGCCACTCACCTGCCATCTGCCGCTGTGGACCTCTGGACTGCTCTGATGCTGGATGCTATCCCCGCCCCATCTAAGAGAGAACAAGGACTTGGGTGACTTCTCCCAACTTCTCCCACTTTCAGCAGGAAACACTTTGGAGATGTCCTTGCCCATTTTTCCATAGAAATGGATTGTAGAAATTGATAGTGGGAAATGTAACAGAGGTCCACTTTATGCTTGGAATATAGCCCTTGCTGCTCTGCCATGCACCTTATTTTCAAAATGAACATGTTTCTTTCTCTTCCCCTCTACCAGCTCCTCCCTAATCTTTCCCCCTCCCTAATCTCTGGGGACAGGGGATTTCCTCTCTTCCCCTTCTGTCCCTGAGCACACTCCCACCAGAGGAACGAACTAATCTAGACTTTGGGGATGGACCAGAAGATCTCAGAAATGATTCTCTCCCAAATTAACAAGTGAATACAACTCCAGACAGAGAACACATGGAATGTGGCCTTTGAGTCACCTCTTTAAAAGCCCCATGTTCCTGCAGATGGGCAGAATCACAGCCTTTGGGACAGGAGTTCCCTGTTTCTCCTTTGCTAGCTAAGCAATAAACCTTCTTTTTCTTTTTTTTTTTTCTCAAAAAAAGAAAAAAAAGAATGTCACTGGAGAGCTTTGAGAAGAGAGGCTCACTGCTGAGAATTAATTTCAGGGGACCTAGGCAAAAGAAGGGAAATCAGTCAGGAGTCTTTAAAATAAATAGTTTAGATTGAGTTGGGAGATTTTAGCTGGAGACCTGGAGATGGGGAGGGCGAGGTTGGATTCTGAAGACTGTGATAACAGACTGTAGGAAAAGTGGGTTCTGTGGGGGAAGACTGCATTTCCCTGTTAGCTTCACTGTCACTTTTGTCACCTACAGGCCACACAACTGGAACTCAGAAATGACCAATTTTCAGCTTCTTACTTTCCCAAACCATGCTGTATGCCATAGGAATTAAGACTAGGTTGTTTGGGGGAAATAAATGCTAGAGCAATACAAATTAATTGGATATTTGCCTCATATTTTATTGTTTTGACATTGTTTTAAAAGGTTATATAAACTCCGAATGGAGCTACAAGTGATCTAAACACTTCTGCTGCTTTATTATAAATGCTTTTGTAATCATGTTAATTATATTACTTTTAACTGAATAAGGCCTGTGTCTCTTCCTTATAAATTGATGTTTATATCCTCTGTAAGATAAATATAAAGCCTTTTTGTTCACATTTTTATGTACTTGAGCACCCACTATAAGAATGTAGTTGGCAGTGGATGGTGGATTTATATTATTAGTCTTAGCTTACTGTTGTAACATAACAATTACGCAAAATATATAATTTGTTTTTGTTATTTAACGTAGAACTGTAACAGCGTAGACTTAGTGAAGATGACATAAGGTACAACAAGGCAAGTAAATTGCTATCTAAGTAAAACTTTTACTTCTAATATTAGTAGAGTAATAAATTTCTCAGTGCTTTCTTTGTTTCCGTGTTCCAAAATTTCCCTAAACTCTGGTATATATTCATTGAACAATATTTCCTTGAGCTCTGTCTCTCTTTTCAATGCTGGGAATGGAAACATCCTTAGCCCCAAATAATATTTCTGATTTGAATAATTTAGTTTAAGAACAATGCTGGGTGTGGTGGTGCATGCCTGTAATCCCAGTGACTAAGAAGGCTGCAGTAGGAGGATCACAAGTTCAAAGCCAGCCTCCATCATGACTTAGCAAGACCCTAAGCAACTTTGTGAGACCCTGTCTCAAAAACAAAAAGGGTTTTGGTTGTGGCCCAGTGGTTAAGCACCCCTGTGTTCAATTTCCAATCCAAAAAAAATAATAATAATAATTTAGTTTAAGAAGAAATAAAGTGTTAACTTTTCCCCAAATCACTCTCAGTGTTTGTGTTAGCCAGCTTCCTATTACTGTAACAAAATACCTGAGATAATCAACTTAGAAACAGGAAAGTTTTATTTTGGTTCACAGTTCTGGAGGTTTAAGTCCATGGTCAGTAGGTTTCTTTGCTTTGGGGCAGAATATCATTGTGGGCAGTGTGTGGTGGGAAAAACTACTTACCTCATGGTGGCTGGGAAGCCAAGGAGTGAAGAGTAGGGAAGGGGTCCCAATATTCCCTGATGACCTAACCTCTTCCTTCTAAGTTCCACTTCTTTTTTATGGTTGTTAATATTTTTTTAGTTGTTGATGTGTCACTTGATGCTTTAACTATATCATCTCTTCCCAGATCTTCTCTGATCTTCTTTTCCCTAACCTCTCCTCCCCTCTTCTCCTCCCTGATCTCCCGTCCCTAATCCATTTTCTCTGAATCACCTCTTTAAAAGCCTCCTGTTGCTGCTGATGGATAGAATCACAGCCTTTGAGACAGGAGTCCCCTGTGTTTCTCCTTTGCTAGCAAAGCAATAAACCTTCTTTTTTCCTTTTTCTCAAAACCATGTCCTCATTGGCATCAGGGACAAGGACAAAGCCTTTGGCGACAGATGGACTTTTGTTTTATTTATTTATATGAGGTGCTGAGACTTGAACCCAGTGCCTCACACATGCTAAGCAAGCCTTCTACCACCGAGCCCCAGCCCCAGCCCAGATTCCACTTCTTAACAGTTCTACCACCTCCCTGGAGTGCCAGGCTGGAGCCTTTGAGGAACATTACAGATCCAAGCTATAGCAATGCTATTACTAATTACCTTGACACCATGGACACTTTTCTATTTAAGGACATTGGTTACAACTACTATACAGTGATTTATAATTTTTAGATTTTATAACTGAGTTTCTTTTTTCTTCTTGTCAATTTAAAGATACACAACCGAAGAACCATTTTCATAGATAAATAATTCATCTCATGTCTACTTCATATTTTAAATCTTATTCTTCACCTTTATGAAATTGGAAGGAATAGATGAATTATTTATAGACATTATCATATTGGATTATTATAAGTAATTTTTCTTGCCCCATATCCTTGATCTTCAAATAATCAATAAGTGAGGTATGTGGTCATTGCACATCTGAGGTATTTGGTCATTGCCTATCTGATTTTTTATAAGACTTGTGTTTTTCTTCCCTTAGGATAGTTTGGACATTATATATATGTGCAAAAATATTACCTAGACTAAACCTTTAACAACTCTTAAATTCGAAAAAAATGTGATTGTGTGAAATTTTACTTATTCAGACTTTTTTTTTTGTATCAGGAATTGAATCATGGGCACTTAACCACTGAGCCACATCCTCAGCCCTTTTTTGCATTTTATTTAGAGACAGGGTCTCACTGAGTTGCTTAGGGCCTCACTAAATTGCTGAGGCTATCTTTGAACTCACAATCCTCCTGCCTTAGCCTCCCAAACTGCTGGGATTACTGGCGTATGCCACCACACCTGTGTATTCAGACCAGTTTTTGTACATGTCCTGTTTACTCACTAAGTGTGCTCTGAATCTTTGACTATGAAGAAATGGGTCTTAGTATCTGTTTTTATAATTCTTACTGAGCTCAGGTACCTAAAATTAGAGAATCTTAAGAATCCTGAGGGTTGGAAAGTGTTCAACCTCAGGGCTTCAAAGGCCTCAGCATACTGTTTACAGATCTGCATAAAGGAACCTGAGGAACTCAGCGGAGAGGCCGGAACAGTTTAATATTTGTGCTCCTCAGTGGCAGCAGGCCAGGATGATATGGAGGGCTGCCCCGGGCCCACATTAGGGGGAGAATATAAGACAGGTTGCACGCCCACTGTGCAGATGGATTTCTTCAGTTTTTTACGAGTATTTTCTTTTACTTTACAACCAAGATGGTTCTGCTTTGACCCCCACCCTAAACACTGGAGACAAGGAACGTGGCCAGTTTCCCTTATAAATTTTCTTCATTATCACATTCCTTGGAGTCCTTCTTATCTCACCTGCTTAGAACAAGTCTTTCTAGGCACTGATTAGTGTTTATCCCAACAGAAAGGAACATAGAGATCACCTAGCCTGTTGTAAAAGTCCCTTTTCAACATTTCTGGCGTAAGTCACTCATTATCTGCTTGTTCAGATGGGGTGAACTCACTAATTCACAAGAACCTTATTCTAGTTTTAAAGAGCTTAAATTGTTGGAAATCTATTCCTTATTTTAGAGACAAAACTGATCACCAATTTTTACATTTTTGTCTTAACCTTTTGAAAACTTTATGGAATAAATTTAAAGGACCTTTTGCACAAGTGGCATCTTGGTTTCTGCCCACCGAGTCTTTTATTTTTCTAGCTTTAAACATCTTAGTTTCCTTTGACACAAAATTTTTGTTGTTGCTGGGTGGTGATGAAAGGGTTGGGATTGAGAGGAAGAGTGCTGGGTATTGAACCCAGGGCCTCAAGCATAGATCAGAAGTATATGCTTTACATTGGAGCCACAACCCCAATCCCAATACAGTATTCTTTACATGACATGATTCCTAAGACCTTTCTACCCAGTTGGATTGCTCTGAACTTGCCTAAAGCATATTGTGTGTCACTCTGAGCAATGATTGTTACTTCAATGTGCTAGAATAGATTCAGCTTGTTAAAAATGGAAGTTCTGGGGCCCTATCCCAAAAGACATAATAGAGCCGGGCATGGTGGCACAAACTTGTAATCCCAGTGGCTCAGGAGGCGGAGGCAGAAGGATCATGAGTTCAAAGCCAGCTTTAGCAATTTAGTGAGACCCTAAGCAATTTAGCAAGATCCTGTCTCAAAATAAAATGTAAAAAGGACTGGGGCAGGTGTAATGGGGCACGCCTGTAATCCCAGCGGCTAAGGAGGCTGAGACTGGAGTTCAAAGCCATACTCAGTAAAGGCGAGGCACTAAGCAACTCAGTGAGACCCTGTCTCTAAATAAAATACAAAATAGGGCTGGCATGTGGCTCTCTGGTTAAGCGCCCCTGAGTTCAATCAGACATAATAAGTGTGAGATGGGACTCAGGAAACAATGCTTTAAATTAATACTGCTGGTGATTCTAATGCAAAGTTTTCTGAACCTCCTTTTGAGAATCATTGTTTCAAAATATGGTAATAACAGATCTCTGAATTCCTTACCTTAGGGCCTCTGCGGGGCCAGGAAAGAGATGTATAAAGAAAGGTGGAGCAGGGTAAAGTGAGTGTCTGGGGACCACCAGCTGAAGAAGGCATGTTCATCTTTAGCTCAGTGGAGGGGGCTAGTTTAGAGAGTGTCTGCCCTGAGGTGGGGGACTGATTCCCTGGGTGGAAACGAATGTGAAAAGAGAGTTGGGGTAAAAGTATATAGTGCCAACAAGAACTTTTGTAGGCCTGGGGATATAGCTCAGTTGGTAGAGTGCTTGCCTTGTACACACAAGGCCCTGGGTTCAATACCCAGTACAAAAAAAGAAAAAGAAAAATATTTTGTGGGCTGGGATGTGGCTCAAGCAGTAGCGCGCTCGCCTGGCATGCATGCGGCCCGGGTAAAACTAAAAAATAAATATTAAAAAAAAAATTCTCTCTCTCTTTAAAAAAAAAAAAAACTTTTGTAAATAACTCTTTAATTAAAGTGTAAATAGAAATTGAAATTTAAAACAACACAGAAAACATTACAAAGCTAAACCTTTAAGTATACAGAAAGTGGTATTTTAAAAAATGTATGGCTTTAGAAATGCACTAGTGTTTCACTCTAGAAAGTGAAAGATTGAAAAATCAATGAACCACACATTAAACTTAATAAGCTAGACAAAGAACATCATCAACAACCCTTGAAAAACACTGAAGGATATCATCAAAAGAAATAAAAGCAGAAATTAATGAGGTGGAAAACAAACAATAAAAAGTATTTGAGGGCTGGGGTCGTAGCTTAATGGTAGAGCACTTGCCTAGCATGTGTGAGGCCCTGGGTTGGATTCTCAGCACAGCATATGAATAAACAAAATAAAAACATTTTAAACAAAAGTGTATTTGAGCAGGCATGATGGCACACACCTGTTATCCCAGAGACTGGGGAGGCTAAGGCAGCATACTCACAGGTTCAAGGTCAGCCTGGGCAACTTGGCAAGATCCTGTCTCAAATAAATAAATAAGTAAATAAAGGACTGGGGATGTAGCTCAGTGGTTCAGTCCCCAAGACTCCTCCATCCCCTCTCCCGAGAGAGAGAGAGAGAGAGAGAGAGAAGGTGACTTAATTACTATATTAAAAATCTGATTCTTGGTAACTGTCAAATAGATAAATCTTTGGCAGGCCTGATGCAAAGAGAAAGAAAGATGGAAAAGGAGAACAATATAAAAACATGAAAAGGAAAAAAAAGGGGAGTACATAACAGGAAAAATTTTAAAGCATAAGAAAGTATTAGACATTATTTAAGATCAATACATTAAAAATCTAGGTGAATCAGAAATTTCTGGGATAATAGAAACCAAATTGAGTCAAAAAGAGGTAGAGAACTAATAAACCAAAATCTATAGAAACAATTTAAAAGGTAGTAAAAATAATTTAAGAGGAAAATAAACCAAACAATATGAATAT